ATATATATATATATATATTAAAACATATCTGTGTCAAAAACAAAAACTGTGTGAATCAATCTTGTTAGCAAATAGCGTAAATTAAATAAAATATCGGCATATTTCTAAACGCTAAATCCAGGGTACAGTTCAACTATTAAAACTTAAATTATTTAACGTAGCTTTGGATTATTTCAAATTCTCAATATGTAACATAATAATGTAATGTTAAATTGTTTAGATTTACAAAATGTGATGTTGAGCATTGTATAGGTTTAAAGGATATAATTTTGAACATTACTGTAACATAGAGGAATATGTATTAAACCTTTTATCTTGAATATTTGCATTTTTCAAGAGTATGTATAATTCATGATGAAATATTGGACATTGTTAGGCTTACTGAGGTATTTATTAAACTTTCAACCTTAAATATTATTTGTTTTATAGGGGTATGTTTAGTTCATCATGTTATGTTAACTCTGTTTAAGTTTACAGGAGTTTGGCTATGTTCATCTATCAGCTGGAGATCTTTTGAGAACAGAAAGAGATATTCCAGGATCTAGATATGGAGACCTCATTGAAAAACATATTCGGAATGGAACAATTGTACCTGTTGAAATTACCTGCAATCTGTTGCATGCTGTAAGCACTCTTAATTTTTTCTTCTATAACATAGAAGGAATGAAATTAAAGTACAAGTAAAATAAAATTTTTGTATGTAATGAAATAATCATTACATTTCCATATAATAGATTATAATTATTGTGATATGTTTTGTTTTTTGTTCAGTAATATCTATTAGTTCTACTCTGCTCTCCTCTTCCTGTTTTTGTCTCCAGGTTACAAAGTTTTCAGCTGAATGTTGATCATCAATACTTTCTCTGCTAGCTGTTGCCATGTTATTAATACAAAGAATGGAAGTACCTTCTTAAGTTGACTCATCCTTTGATCATTCAGTGTGATACTTAGACTGTTCTAAGTGTGTTACCTAGGAAAAATAATGAGGGTTGAACATAGTTGTAATTTGTTTGTTTAAAACAAATTATGTTATTACTATTAGTTAAATATAAGTATACATTGAAGTATTTATTGTGCATATTTATAAGGCATTTTGTTTTATGTATAACATCATGTGTAGAAAAACAATGCTATAGAAAATTGACAAAAAATATTAGATTATACAGAAATTGACTAAAGTTGCTAATCTTTCAACAAACAAACAGAAAAGCTGAGAGTTTGTACAGTTTTAAATATTGGTAAAGTTAGTTTACTGAAAGTAACAACACAAATTAAATATACCAAATACATTACAAAGAGAAAAAGGTTGATCTGTAAAATAAATTGAAATATTTATTCATAAAATCAGAATTTAAAGAGCACAACTTAAACAGTTTATGCATCTAGTTTGTCAGCAACTTCTAGATCAGTTCTTTCACCAGTTCAATAGGAATTCTGCATTGTCGGTATCCAGATTTTTACTCTTCTTTTTTGTTTTTCAAAAAGTGGTAGGGGAATGGAGACCTGTAATAGATTTCACCTGACTTAAACACTATCACATTGTGTTTCATTTGAAAGTGTACAATATGAGATTGTTATGAATGTTTCTTTGAAGAAACCAATAGATAACCAAAGTGGATTTGCAGGATGCCTATCTACATATCCCCATTTACTAGCCATTTCTGTTATTTTTCCCATTCTGTTTTGAGATTCTGTTTTATTAAAAAATTCTAAACATCATACCCACAGTGTTGCAGTACAGTTATTTGTGTGTTGCCTGAACAATAATGTACTAAAATGTTCAAAATATTATAAATAAAATTTAATAATCTAGCTATTTTTGAAATGCTATGTTTTTTATTTCAAACAGTAAAGTACTAAAAAAATATCTTTTTGGAAAGTATGTTAGTATCTTTATATATTTACAAAGGTACAAGTCTTCTTGATTTGAAGAGAAAATAGATATTTCCTATAATCTTTGAAAATAATTTTGCTACTTAATATTATTTATTGCTGTGAGTCCATAAAAAATGTCAGATCAAATGGTAGTAATATAACTAAAAATTCAAAACACAATATTAATGTAGTTCAGTGATAAGATCGAGAGCTTATAATGCTAAAATTCACGTATTGATCCATACAGTGGGCACAACACAGATAGCTTAACAACAAACAATTATTTTGTTAATCATTGTAGTAGATAACATTAACAATGTAAATGAAAATTTTGTTTTCTTACCTAAAAATATGGAAATATTTTTAAGATGGTTCTGAATGATAATAATAACATGATTTCATAATATAGAGAACAATGATCTGAATGATATTGATATAAAATAACAGGCAATGAACAACAGTAGAAAAGACAGGTTCCTTATTGATGGGTTTCCTCGTAATCAAGATAATTTAGAAGGTTGGAATCGTGAAATGGCAGCTAAAGTCAACTTACAGTTTGTTTTGTTCTTTGATTGTAATGAACAAGTAAGTTTTATGCTATCATATTTTTTTGATTTTGTCATGCAGCTCATACAAATGATTCCTCCAGAAACTTGTGGTTTAATGGAAACAAATCTTCTGAATCCAGCTGTCCACCTACTTGAATGTCTGCAGTTGGACCTAGCAATTTAAACCCACTTATATGACTTTAATAGTTGTATTATGGCTATATGTTTATGTGTTTGATTTTAATGTCAGCTTGAGTTTTGTAATTTGTGCATTTTCACGAATCTTAAGTTTCTGCTTATCATGACTCACTATCACCAAATTTCTGTTGTAGTAGTGTTAAAGTTGGTTAACCCCGTGCATGCAGGAGGGTTAAAGTGCTCATATCATAACCTTTTTTACAAAGTTACCTTGAAAATTTAATTAAGCTACCTTATTATTAAAGTATGTAAATAAACTTGCACAAAAATGTAGTTTATATTTCAAATTTATATGTTATTGAAGTTTTAATATAAAATTTTAAAAGGAAATATTTAAATAAATTCTCAATCTGCACTTTTCTGAGTCACATATGTAGTGGTGCTCAGACTTCTCATTTACAGTTACAAACACACACACTAAAAATATTGACAAGCTAGAATACGAAATGTCAACCTCTTATTGCTTCATTGTGTTATCACTATATTTGTTTGACCTACATGACATGCCCATCCTATCTCTTCTGTTTTTTAAGAAATGTCTGTAACTCTCTTTGACATTACTGCTGGATATGTTTATAACCAGTAAAAAGAACATATTCTGAACACAATTTTGTTTTAGTGGTAAAAGTCGATAGTTTGCAAGGAGAGTATCATATGGTTAGACTAAAGATGGTTACTTCTAGTAGTAATGGAAGTTTTTAACATGTTTAAAGATTGGTTAGATAAATTGTAGTAGTTTTGGGACATTCTATTCTAGTGCCTGATATATTTTTTTGTGTTTGAAAATGCATATTTGAAAGCTTCATGAATTTTTTAAACAACGGACATAGTGAGAAAAAATAGGCTAACTAAACCACGCACTGGAGCGCAAAAAGCCTCAAGGCTAAAGTATATGCTAATTCTGATACAATACCTTACCTCTTCTCACCGAATAGCTTTCCTTACTTTTGTGCTGCCCTCTATATGCACAGTATTTTGCTGGCCACTAGCCTTGACGCTTTTGCCTAAACCTACATGTTTCCACACGGCATTGCTGCATTGTTGCATGCAAATGAGCATGCGACAACCCCCCACCGATAGGAGTGCAACACAACCTTGTACCACAACTAACCTCCTCTATACTGATTGTTCAGTCATAAACTCTTGATCTGGCACTTGTGTTTAATGATGTCTTTTTTTTTTTGTCCTTTTAAACTTTTCAGATATAGGCATTTTCTTAGTGGAAGTATCTTCAACAACATTACATGTTGTGAAAGTATTTATTGTTGGATTTTCGTTTTCCATCGTTTTCTGCACCTACAGGTTTTGGGGCCTTACAATTCCAAATTATTATTTCATAAAAGTTGGTAACTTCCATGTGACCTGGACTTTTTTTTACCTGACATACCTCTGTTTGTGTTTCTCACTCGTGATGGAAGGGATTTTGCTGGATTTTTTCCTACCACCTATCTTTGCCTAGTCTTATATTCATGCTATCTTGAATCTACCCAAGCCTTTTTTTTCATAGTTTTGGGACTGAATTTCTTAGATATGTTTCTTTCCTTCACTTTGTAATTTGTTCTCTGCTTCTTACTTTTATGTTTTTTACTTCCTATCCAGATTTGCAAGTCCATCTTTGAATACTTTTCCTATTACTTTGGTGTATGCATGTCTCATTCTCTTTCCTTTGTTACCTCATATGAATAGGCAAATCTTCATGCTGTATTCCTCTTTCATTAACTCCTAAACTCTTGAGTTACTTTTTCAGACTTGGAGTTGAAATCTTCTGTCTTTTGTTCATATTTCTTAGGCTTAAGCTTTCCCACCTTTGTCTTACACTCTACCCTTTTCTGTTATTTTTCCTCCATTCACCTTCTTTCAATAGTAATCCACCATTCCCCTGAGGGGTTATCAGAAATTACTTGTTCACTTACTTTCTCTGTAGTGGTGTGTTTATCTTCCTTGGCCTTACCACTTCATATTTGACTGATCCGTTGTTAGAGTTTGTTAGAATGTGATGACCTTGGTACTGAAGTGATTTTTTTCCTCCTTTTTCTCCCATATGCCTTTGTCTGGCTCCTTTCATCTCCTTGTGTGATTTATACGTGTACTTGTTTCTATGGAGTCATATGTTGGGGCCGCATGTTAATGTTATACATTATCCTCAGGTGTTTACTGTCTTTCCTGTGCTCCTTCTTTGCCTCTCTCCCTGTCTCCTGTCCTCTTGCTTCCTCTTCTCTCCCTGTTGCCACTTACCATTTTTCTCTTCTCATCCATTCTTCCACTGCTCATTGACTTCAGTGCTATAAGTCTTGAAAGTAACTACCCTATAGACTCAGGGTTAGTTGGGACTGCTTAGTTTGGTTTCTAGACCGTAGCCCTCCATTTGTGGTCAATTATTGAGTATTACCTTACTATTTTTTTCTTACTCTCTTCCTTTGTCTCCAATTTCTGTTAGTTTCCCTTGTTTCTTGTCAGTGTCAAACTGTGGCAGTATTGGACATAAAGGCTAAAGTCGCTATTGAACAGGTTTCTCATCCAGGATTTTATTTCCATCTTTTCATGATTCCCAAAGAAGATTGGTCTCCAGTCTTAGATATTTCATGTGGTCCCATAGTTTCTCAACCTCCTTCAATTTACCATGAGGACTCTTCTCACTGTACGGTGGTCTTTTGCCCCAAGTCTTGGGATGACCAAGGGAGACATCTCCGATGCTTATTTTCTCATTTGATTCCATCCAAACAAGCCTCCTACAGCTGTCCCCTTCTCCTCCTTCAGGAGGTGGCATGTCTAGGTGGGTTGGTCAACCTGGAAAAGTCACATCTCACACCCATTTAGTTTTCATTCATTTTAGTGTTTTTCACTTCACATATCCCATTGGGTCACGATCATGTGATCATCTACAATGTACTCTGCATGATCACTGGATCCTTGCTTGGTCTCCCTTCTCCTCCACCATTCTCTTTCCTCCCTTACTCAAAGACTTCACCTGATGACTTGATACAGCCAATACCATAGAGGGTTCTTCTTGTCTGGGTCTCCATCTGTTTCCAGATACCTCCTTGATGATATGGGGGATATTTCCAGACACTCATATGGTCCCATGACATATCGTCAATTCATATCCATTTCTTAGAACTTTTGGTGGTACTTCAAGTTTTGGATAATTTTTTGATTCGTGGGTGTCTAGTGATGATAAATACAGTCTACTCTGCATTTGCTTCCTATATTAGTCACCAAGGAGACACTCATTCACACTCTCTTTTTCTACACACTTGACTTCCTTTTCTGAGCCCTTTTCTACCGGTATGTCTAATAGCTTGTTGTATTCTTAGTGCCCTGAATCTTGTTGCTGATCATCTTTCGAGGCTCAACAAGATACTACCTGTGGAGTAGTTCCTAGTTCCTCTGGTGTTTAAATGGTTGTGCTCCCATCTGGGCAGTCTTCTTCTAAATGTTTTTGCCTCTCATTTCAACACCATACTTCCCCTTTTCTGGTCCCTTGTTCCTCTTCCCTTAGCTTTAGTTGTAGATGCATTCAGCCAGGACTGGTCCAACCTTTTTTTCTATGCCTACCCTTCAATTTGTGTTCTCTCTCATTTGGGACACTCTGTTTTTAATTCCCATGATAGCTCTGTATGGCCTAGCTCAGCCATGGTTTCCTTTATTGAACCCTCTCTAATCCTCTTCTCCTCTTTTTTTACCTCTGTCATGCTCCCTGCTCCTTCAATCTCACTCCTCCCTCTCCTATCTGGCCGTGTTGGTCACTCTGATTTCACTTATGGGTTTTTTCCATTCCCTTGTAAGATATTCCAGACACTCTTCATCTATAGCCTTCCTTCTTCTTTATTTCATTCATTCTTCCTCCTTCCTTGTCAATCTGGGTTTCCCATTGTTATCAGGTGTTCTCCTTTGCTGTTCATTCTGTGCTCTTTTGTTCTTTTTGCCACATTCATCCGACAATCGTTCCTGATTGGGACCTGAATGCTGTTCTCCATGTCCTTAATACTTGTCTTTTTGTACCTTTAGTCTCTTGTTCCTTGTACCATGTTTTGCTTACGTTCTGTTTCTTACTTTTGCCTGTGGCCACAGAAGATCTGACATGTATGCCATTGCTGCTTCCTGTATCCTTTTCCATCATTCTTTTATTCTTTATTATTCTGCTCATGCTTTTCTTCCTTAAACGTTTGTGGCTCATGAAGGAGACTGCACGTGCACTCCTATTTCACTTCCTTCCATTTTTCACTTTTATTCTCATTCTGACCCATTTCATTTTCTCTGTCCCATCTGTGTGGTTTGTTGTTATTTAGCTTGCATGCTCCTTTTCACAGTTTATGCTCCTGTCTCTTAGTTCTTTGGAATTACTTATCTTCCTTAGATATTTCTCCCATTATCCTCATGGGATGGTTTCAGCAGCTCCTCGTTCTAGCCTATGCTTTATTGGATGTAGATCTAATTTGACTCTTTCAGGTCTTCTGTCACCACATCTGACACCTTACTCCCTCATCTGTTGGAGGAGATCATGCCGGCTGGCATGTGGACTGCCCCGTATACTTTCATCACACATTAACTTTTTCATCTGGCTTCTTCTTGTTCTTCAGGATATCAACTTCCTCCCATCACCATTCTACATACATCTTATTGGCTCTGACTGGGTAAGTTCTTTTTCATGTATCTTACCTTTAGAGGGGCCCATTTCTAGAGTTCAGTATCCTGCTGAGTGGCATTTGGTACTTGTCAAGGCATACTTAGGTTTAAATCTGCACCATGCGGCTATTCAGGTCTAAAATGCTTACTGATGACATGAGGTGTTCCACAAGACCACTGGAGGTTTGCTTGCAGTGTATTGCTTCTTAAATAATGCCTGATCCAGATGGTACTTACTCGTATGCTATCATGTGTAAAGAAATGTCGGGATTGCTGCCCATCCCACCAATCCTAGTTGAATATATTTGGACTGGTCAGCCTTTAAAAATAGGGTTTCATGGTCACACATTGCACAGTCTTAAGGTGTTGCATTCCTCCAGTGGAGTATGGGAATCCTTGCCACTCACCAGTTCCTAGCCACTGGGGTGATAAGCTATGGATATTCTTCCTGAGTGTGACCAATTGCACTCAGTAGAGACTAGGGTGTTGGTGTACTGTTAGTATAGATGGCGTAAACTCTCCTCCTATCTCGGAATTTATGAAAAATTCCTGCTGCGACCTGGTTTTGGACTGGAGATGATCCACCACATACAGTTCATCACTTTGGCTGCTTTTCCCTATCCTATTGCTGCCTAAGTGTCAGTTCCCAGGTGGTCTGGTCTGGTGTTGGGTTGGAACTGGACCAGCTAATATAAGTCGTCACTCATGTAGTTGATCAGGGCCCTCCTCCTACCATGGACTGGATGAAAAATTCCTGATGCTGCCTGGTTTTGGAATGAGGTTAAACCAGCACATTTGCTTTTTCCAATCCTACCATTGCCCAAAAGTTGGGTTCCCAGGTGGCCTGGTGTTGGATGTGTACAGGGACTAAACATATGAGTGCTGCTTAAGATAGCAGAATGGAAGTTACTTTTCCCTTCTGCTTTCTGCTCTGAAGGTGAAAATGGTTGGGATCCTCCTCCTCCTACTGCAGAACAGAGGAAACATACCTGATGCCAACTAGTTTTGAACTGGAGTTGACCTGCTATATATATATGGTTTGATACTTCCTAGTTACTCTCCACCATAAAGCGCATTCAATTTTCATATCGTCTTTCTGAACTTGCTTCTTTTCTACCCAACTTGGCAACACATTTCTTCAATACAGGCAAAGAGTATACCCTGGTACAGTCTTCCATGGTATAAACTGTCATGCTCAATGAGTTGTCTTTGGGCACCTTCCAAAAGGAGCTCATCTAGATAACTTTTGTACCAGTCCTTCCACCACTTCAATGTAGGATTATAGCTATTATGTGAGCATAGGTAAGGTATTATATTGGAAGTTAACATTTTTCAACACTAGAAATGTACTTACCTCTACTCACATTTCCTACCCATCCTCCGCACTTCTGATGCATCTCTTCTTGCCTAATTGCGAAGTGATGATTGAACAATCAGTATAGAGGGAGTCAGCTGTGCTAGGAGGGTGTGTTGCACTCCTATTGGTGGAGGGATGTCACATGCTCATATGCATGCTACAGCTCAGCAATACCACGTGGAAATGTGAGTTTAGGTGGAGGCCTCAAGGCTTGTGGCAAGCAAAAAATTGTGTATATAGAGGGCTATGTGAATGGAGATAAGTATCTATTAGAAGTACATTTTCGGTGTTGAAAATGTTAACATTTCTCGTTTTTTATGTATAGTGTTTTTTGTTTTGTTTTTAACAAAGTAACTAGAATTTAAAAATTAGAAACTTGTTAGATTAGATAAGAAAACAAATGAATAAAAACCTTGTGGTCTCTTCAAGGAATGCATATTGGCTTCACTCATGTGATGTAACTTATTAGTTTGTTTACCATAGGCTATCACTGGGTGATTTATTGCTTTGTTATGCTAGTTAAACACATTTAAAAAGAAAAAATTCAATGAAAACAGTAGTGAAATGCTAGAGGTCTGAAGCTGTTGGGATAAATAATTACAATTAACTGTTGAAATCTGTTGTCATTCATATTATTCAACTCTTCGTTTTACTGTACAATTATGATTTCACTATAGTTATTGTTAGATTAAAGGAAATAAGAGATAAAGTTTTACCAATATAAAAACTTGATTTTCATTTAAGAGGTTCTAGAGGTTATGCAAATGAAATATGAAAACTGTAAAAAAGTATTTTTATTCTTAGCATGAAAATCACCTTTCATACAGATGTACTCAGTAAAGATTTCATAAATTCACAGATAAATCTTTAGTAAAAATACATTATTAGAAAATATATAATGTTTATGTAGAATATACTTTTAAATGTTTACTAAAAGCTTGTCAAATTTTGTGAAGATAAATTTAGTACATTCAGAGTTATAATCTTTATAGTTTCATGGTTACATGATTATTACAAGGTCATATGGTTAAAACATGTCATGTATTGCATAGTAAATCTTCCAGTTTCTAAGGAACTTAAGAAAGGCCACTCGGAGGTTCTTGGAGGGTTTTTATTTTCACAAAGACTGTGTCTGCAGCTTAAAGAAATATTAAACAAAATGCTATATTCAGATTAAGGCTAGTTTGTTGATATGTTTTGCCCTCAAAGTTTCTCATTTTACATACTAATCATTATGTAAATCTGTTTATTTAAAACTATAATTGGGAAAACATGTTTAACACCTATACAGTATGATGTTTGAAATATTTATAAATATGTAACATTTTTTTCAATTGTGTCAATTTCTCTGTGTTACTATTAACTTTGTCTTTTTACATATTAGTACAGAAGATATGTATTGAAAGTTGTTGTGTTTGCAGGTATGTATTGATCGGTGTTTGAAGAGAGGTTCATCTGGAAGTGGTCGTTCAGATGATAATGAAGAAAGTTTGAAGAAAAGGTATTTTTTTTGTACAATATACTCTTGTAACTCAATATACTTCTCTTGTAACTCCTATGGGTATTAAATTTTGTTTATATCTAACATTATCAGTATAAAACAAGCAAATCAGGAATTTGTATCAGTTTTCTCCTCTAAATATGATAATAATCTTTTATCATGCTAAATATGTATGGAAACTTATAATTATCTTTATATTGTTCGTTAAAACTTAATGTTTATGCATCTAATATTTAAGTACAGTATCCAAATATACCTGTGAGTATGAATCATGTAGAATCAAATTTTAAACTTCTTGGTGTTGAACTTCTTAAGTTGATATTTGATTTTTGGAGCTATTAATGTTGTTACTCTATTGTGTAAGCTCCAGGTTATCTAGCACCTGATGGATATTCTTGACTTCAGGTATTGAAGTTTGCTTGATAGATTTATTATTTAGAAACATCTTTATTTATAATATAATTCATAGTAAATCTTGATTGTACTGTCATTGTAAAGGATTATCTTCAACCATTTATTTTGCTATGTGTGATATCTATTTTGAGATTTTCAACTATTGTTTCAATCATAATCTACAATTATTAATTCTTTTGTTAATGTGTTTTTACTGCATATTTATATTTACTTGGTTTGTTATTGGTGCATCTCTGTATTTTTTTATAATATTTCTGACATTTATACATATTCCTCACTTTGTCAGCTATCCTTCCACAGCATTAAGCTCTGTTTGACATTAAAACATGTTGCTGTCTGTGCCAGTTATTCCTCTGTACCACTGAACTTTATTGGACATTGAGGTACATCATGGACTGTTTGAAGTATTCCTTCACACAACTAAGCTATGTTTGACATAACTTTACATTACTGACTGTCCAAGTATATCTTCCACCATCCAGCTCTGTTTGGCAGTGATGCACATTGCTTACTTTTCCAGGTATCTCTCCACACTATGAAGCATTTTTTATATTGATGTGTATCACTTACTTTGTTCTTTTTCTTCTCCAGAATGATCCCAACTGTAGTATTGTGGGACCTACAGTATTATGTTAACAATAAGAGTAGAATCTGGTGTTGCTGTGCTTTTCTTTGCTTTCTTGATTATACCACCTTGTTTTTAAATTCTAAGTAACTTACAACTGAGAAACATTAACATACTTTGGCATTACCTGTTTCCAACTTAACAGTTGTGTCCTTATCCTGAGGAATGATCTCATGCATTTTACTTGTGGCTCCTGGAGAAAGTATTTACAATATGTAAACAACTGAGGATTAATTTCCTTTGTACTTTCACTGGTGTTCTAGATGAAGAGTGTCAGTGTGTCGCAGAATTAATAAGTATGTTCACTTCACCACTCTATAAACAAAAGCTGTCAGTCATTTCCTGATGTCTTGAATATTGTTCACTGTAATATGGTGATGGTATAAAACTAGGCCATTGGACAGTAAAGAAGAGCCAAGTCATAAGTCTCAAACACTGCATTTTGAACCTGGTGTTCAATTTGTTCATTAATTCAGTCAGGCTCTTCCACAGAGTAAATGCAATAGAGAATACATAAGTATAATGCTAGCTCTGACTTGGTTCTAATCCTCTTAAGAAACTGAAATACAGATTCCAGAAAGAAGTTACTTATGTCATTTTAATACCTCAGTAACTTCTTTCTGTTATCTTTTCCCTGCATTTCATTGTTCATTGCTAAAATTTTATTGGCATTGATACAGAAATGAAACCAATTAACAAAATTGAGATGTCAAATTAAGTGTGAAGTACAATTTGATAGTTTATGGCTTTGTGATATTTCCACTTAAATGTTTATGCAATTAATCTCTACATTACTTACAAAGTGACCTTCAATTTCAAAATGATAAGAAATAGAGAGTTTAAAACACATTTTTTGGCTGCCGGGTAAGTGACAAGTTCTTTGTTCAAATAACTATACACATTTTTTGACATGTGCAGCAGCAGCAGGGAAACATCATACTGGAAAGAACAAATTTAATACTCACTCATATAATCCCAGCACTTGTTGTTATACAAAACTTAAACTTTGTTGAATGTTCTTTTAATTACTGAAACTTAACATTTGATAGAAAACTAAACTCTCAGGCTTTAGAAATAATATTCTGATCTGCACAAAAACATTGTTGCTTTTTCTTAAAATATTTTTCTTATGTAGGTTTATTACATATTTCAAAGATACTCTGCCAATTGTTGATCACTATCAGAAACAAAACTTGGTTAGGAAAATTGATGCCAACAGTTCAGAAGATACGGTAAGATAATTTGTGTGAATATTAGTACAAGGTTTTTTAAAAGAATGAAAAAGTTGTTTATTGAAAAACATCATTAGGTTTTATGTACATTAAGTATTGTTGTTGCAAACCTCTGACCTTGTAATATTAAAGTCTACTATAATAGTATTCAGTTTTTGTCTATCCTGAAAATGTACTTGCACCTTACTATGTGCATGTGTGTGCACTTTTTCATGGACATAAATATACTTTATTAGACATTTGGTACAACAATATATTAAATTCTTATCCACTTTTTCAAAAATGTCTAATGTTAGGTTGTAGAATAACATTATAAGTTTATTTATTGATAGTATTAAGCACAATAAAGTTTAGCCCTAACTAAACTAAAGCAAAAAATCTATACAAGGTACGGGGTTAATGTATCTCTTTATCTTAATAAAGGCTTAACTAATGTTAGGCCTAAGAGATATGGGCTTTTAGATTTTGGTGTCTGAAATTATAATTATTTTGTATTATTCTAGAAATCCTGGAATTAAAGAAACATCATTGCAATAAAGATACTAATTTAACCACAAATGGTTTGCAGCCACTGTTAGTAACTCATAAAAGTCACCATATCTAAAACACAAACACTTTAAACATGGCAGGATAACTGTGAGACCTTTTAAAATACAAGTTTCATTTTTTGTTCAACTTATGAGTTATAACATAATAAAAACCACTACATAATATAACTGTTTAGATATGACCCCTGTAATCATTGACCAGAAAGCCACTTTTCATACATGTACCATAGTAGGCCTAATGATGTCATGCACGAGTCAACTTTGTTGAAAGAAATAGTGCAATAAAATATTGTCGAAAATATTAAAACTAATATAAATAGCAGTTATCAAACTCTTATTTTGTACATAAAACTTATCCATGTCCTCCTTTTACTAATCTATGTTCATCTGTTCACAGTCTCCACCTTTGCCTGAAGGGCTTTACAGGAAGCATGTTTATGTATTCTCTTGGTTTTCCAGTGATTGATCACTGTATAGAGAAATGTTTACATATCCTCCTTGTTATTCAGTGATCCATCACTGTACAGAGAAATGCATAGAGTAGTGTTCAGTGATTCATCTCTGTACAGAGTAACATTCAACATGTTTATGTATTCTTCTGGTTGTCCAGTGATTCATCATTGTACAAAGTAATGTTTGGCATGTTTATGTATTCTTGTGGTTGTTCAGTGATTCATCACTGTACAGAGTAATTTCACTATATTTACACATTGAATGATTGGCATACATTTAAGTTCATTTCCTAACAGCCATTCTCTCATGGACTGATTGTTCTCATATTTCTACTTGAAGTTTGAAGCTTTGGAAATGGTAATACAAATGCTTAGAAAAGAACAAGTTTTCTTGATTTAGTCATGATAGAGATAAAAAATCTCATCATCATCATCACAAAATTAAAATTTGTAAGTATTAAAAATATTTTAAAGAAGATTATAAGGAAACAATGGTAAAGATAAAATATTGCATATTAAACCAGTGAAAGAAATAAAGCAGAACAAGATAAAATATTTTCAAGATGAATACATTTTGCATTCTTTGTTAAGGAAAGAAAAAAAGTATTAAAAATCCTGTACTACAAAAAAAATTTTATTACCCAAATTGTTTACTCATTCAGTATAGTTATGTTTTTTATCTCCAACTTTTTGGGGTGCATAATGCAACAATCAGGCATCTGGCATGGTACATATTACAAAACAGATGCTTATGTCATGAATGGAATATTTACAGATATCTACAATGTAACTTCTGTTGTGTCTTGATGTTTTATTATTGTATGTCTAATTATTAAAGCATGAGAATAATAGTTTTAGTTAAGTTATATTCAAATTGATAACTTAAAATTAAAAAATAAATGCAAAATGTATTTGGGATTCTCTAATCCTTGAGCTATTAGATGGCTTCATGTGACAGAAGATATACAGTTTCCAAAATTTTCAAGACTACATCTGAATAAATAAAAAAAAACATCTGCTTAATCTTAATTTTTGAGGATAAAATTATCTGAAATATTTTTACTGTTTATATAAAAAGTATGTGAGATATTTTCATGAAACTACATTAAATTAATATATTCTTGTGTTTACCATCTTTGATTTCAGGTATTTGAAGAGGTGAAAAAATGCTTCAAAGAAGTCATGTGAGAGAAAATAATTTATATTTTGAATCGTTAATTAATACTGACTGTGGTTTATGAAAACCATGTGTTACTGTTAAGTTAATAAACTTAAGTTTTCTTGTATAATGATGCTTGTAATATTATGTATGCTGAGTTTTAAGTGTAAAAAGGTGATTTTATAATTTATTTTACCAAAGCATCATGTTCATGTATAATAGCAAAAAGGTTTTAAGCAACTTTTCAGTATGTATATTTTTGGTATTATTTTCCAGTTTTTAAAAGCTTAATTAAAGTTCTAGTTGTTTAACATTTTGAAGTACAGTATTTCTGAGTTGTTAGGTTTAAATCTGTTATGTATCAGGTAACTACATATAAGTTTGACATGTAAAGTACTCTTCACATTTTGTTTACTCCGAACTTGGAAATTTTACTCTTACATTATATTGCAATACTTTGACACTGTAGTGTAGCTTACAGTGTCAAGGTCCTTTTATAAAAACTAAAAATACAACAGGCCTCCCATTTCAATTTTATCAAAATGTAGGTCATGTTTTATAAATATGTTTTTTGTAGGTTGTTAAGAAACAAAAGTATATATGTGTTTTCTGGCAAAGTTTTTTTTGGCTCTAAATAACTTTTTCAACCTGAACTAAATATATTACACACTATAGTATTGAAAATAAAAAAAAAACTTTTGTAACCAGATGTAAATGCCAATGAGATGATTTTCTTGGTAGCATCAAGTAAAGTCAGCAAACAGCTTTCCATATTTCAAAGAGTTTATCTATAACCCTCGTTCATCTTCATGATAATTTCTTCTTGTTATAGACAGCATGAGAAAACAGTACACGTCTAGTGCTTAGTAATCTTATTTGTACACATCAAGTCTCTTGCAGAATGCATTGTGAACATTATGGACACAGCAAAACCCCACATAAACCAGACTTTTGTCACCTTCATCTTCACTGCTTCGTAAGTTTTATTTTAATCGGGTTATTAATTTAATGAAATGATTAAAAGTTTCTAACAATAGATTGAACTCCAACAATGTATTTTGGATTGAATTTTTGGGAAATATATGCCCAAACATAAAACTCAATACATATAACTTGCACATGTCCTGCTGATTCACTAAAATAACAAACCAAAAGGCCACTTGGAGATTGGTGGTTTTGTCAAAACATAGGATATACCATATGCTAGGGTCTTAACTGATTTCACTGGCAATCTATTTGATAAAGTAGGGACCCAGTACTTCTCCAGGAATGTAGAGAAGCTTAAAGCTCCCCAGCTTGAAGCTTTTAGCAATATTGCTAGTGGGAAACATGACACAAAATATATCACAAATATCTCCACAAGAAGAAAACAAGTAATTTTCACAGCTAACTTTTAAAGCCCAGTATATTTCAGCTGTTAACTTCATATCTATACTGGTCATCAACTTCAATTTGAGTTTTGCCATGGCTTTTGCTGATTAGGTACAAGTCCCCTGAGTAAGAGGAAGTAGGGTTGCTTGACAGTATCGATGGTTCAGATAACAAAGTTCCTGCAGCTTTCTAATGATCAAACTTAAGACTTTTTAAGGCCATTATTTAAAAAAATTGAAGACCTATTTCAGTGAAAAATTGCATTACCTGAAAATAGTGCAAATTATTAGTTATAACAAATCATTCAGGTACCATCTTCACTGAAATAGGTCTTAAAATTTTCAAAAGATTGCCCTTAAAAAGTCTTAAATTTGATCATTAGAAAACTGTAAGAACCTTAAAATAGTGAAAATTATAGATAATAATGAATCATTCAGGTACCATCTTCAAATTATTTATTGAAACGTTTCAAGCATATACATTGTCAGAAATGTGTTAACTGATGAAGGCTTCCCATTAACTAAAATGACAAATTTCATAAAATTTTTGTTAGAAAAGTAAAATAACATATCAAAAGTCTTTGTATGAATCTAAAGTTAATATGGTCCATAGACTGCTTTCTGTGTGTATGAAATCTACAAGTGACTCGGTACTTCAGTCTTGTTTTCCAGTTCACATCTAAAGTCTTTAACTAAGGTAACTTTTTCTTCATTCTCCTTCTCATGGTGTCGAAATTGATGATTAGTTTTGCCATATGGGTCCCTGTCTTTCCCTCTACTTATTTAGCAATTTTGCTAGTATTACATGATAAACTTTTATGTACAAAGTTCAGTCTTCTCTTCTTTTTAAGTATTTAAAGTTCTTCTTCCACATGCTTCCCCTCTTGACCTTGTTCTGCCATTTTCTATACCTTGTCCTTGCAGTGGCTGCAAAGTTCAAGAGCTCCTTGTTAATGTGTACTGTGGAGATTTCTCTAAATATGTTGACATAGTCATAGACTAATCTGTGTGCTTTTACAGTATTCTCCTGAACATTACATACCTATTCTTTTTGATTGAGAGCCTTTGTTCTACTGTTGCTTGCCCACACGATAGGAGAAGCAACTTCCTACAGATGTTCCACAGTTCAAGGTAGGCTTTGTTCATCAGACATTGCACTAGGGTCTGAAATGTTGAATGCCTAGTAGCCAGCCCCATCCTTGGCTTCTGCATCTAGGAAATAACTGTACTGCTGAATGACTTCATCACCTGTAATGAAATCAGGTGTTAAAATGAAATTTGTTGCAAAATCACATGTACTGAATTCTTAGTGCTCATGAAAGTGTTCATTTGTTATGCCATAAATGAATCTTGTGACTTATCATTTACACAATAGTTAAGAACTAAGTACATATAAACAATTAACAAACTTACAGAAATGCCTCCTGCCAACTGATTGTCATAAACTAGCCTTGAATGATTCTCTGGGCACATTAATGGGATCTAAGCTGCTCATCTATCACACAATTTGATACTTAAGAAGCGACTTATTCAATTGATAAACCTTTCTACAGTCATTTTTGAAGTGCATGGTTGTGAGCTGGGCAATAATGTTGTTTCTGAAAAGCTTCTATCAGAAATTAATATATAAAAAAATTTTCAAAGCATAACTACATAAATACACCCACTTTTGTGCTATCACTGAAATACCTTATGACATGAACCATATATAGGTAAACAGCATATTAAATCAACAATACAAACTTACATAATAATAATAATATTCATTTTAATATTTATAATTTCTTACTACAGTTACCTTCAAAACAGATTCAGCTCCTTGGCAATATCCACATCATGTGATTGACCCAGATCTTTGTGTTTGTTACATCAGTCTTGCTTAGTTTTTCAGAAGGCTCAAGATGTTTCTTTTTTATGAAATTCTCGAGCAAACTCTGAAGAGAAAAAGTAAGGAATATTTCAAAATAGCTAGCAGTTGTTAAAATGCATTTTATATCTACTCTAATAACTGAACCTATGCATAATTATATCTGAATAAATGTTAACATCTTTGTGATTATTAATATTTATTATACACATAAATTATATTTACCTTGGCCAGTTCTGTGAGATCTCTGTGAAAGTCCTAGACAAAGCCATAAAGAAAGGAAGCTTAGCAATGATCAAGGGACCTTTGTGAATTGCATCAGCAGAATCATATGATGCAGTATGATTATTGGAAAGTTTCTTGATGCTGACTGCTTCAAGATTCTTCTTAATACTGGCCTAAATTTTGATTGTTGTCTCTGCAATGGGCAGATTCTCAATCCACAGAAGGGGAGAAAGAACAGTGACAATTTGGTAAGCAGGTGTGTCAGGATTTAAAGATATAAGTATTATTGGTATATCTTTCGTTTTTGACAGTTTTCAAATAGAAAGGCTTTTAGTTATATTTCTTAATAGTATAAACATATACTATGTTGTTAATAAAACTTTGAGGACAGCTGTTAAGTGGATTATTTTATTTTTAGAAAATTTATTACAATGTTTCGACCACTTGTGTGGTCATCATCAGGTAAATTTATGATATAGTGTTAAGTATTAGTAATTACTCAAGCATTTGTTCCAATTTAGAATAAATATAAAGAGACACCTATATTTGATTTAAATTACGTTTTAAATCACGGATAATTAACGCTTCTTTAATTTCTCTTCTATTTATATTGTTTTCTTTACATAATATTTTGAAGTTGTTTTAATTGGATGTTGA